ATGGTGTTGATTAAAAAATTACACCATTCCAGGCCCTTTTGTTTTCCACATAATTAATATTACCAATAATTAACAAGTTCCGGGTCGAATCCGATACCGACACCAAAAGTATATGTCACATGTGGTTTAATTTCCGGTTGTAGTAATAAAACCAGGACGGGTTCAAACAGAAAGATTTTGAAAGCAGAGAAAACTGTGTACCATATAATCAACATGACTTTATCAAATGACAATACGAATACTAAAAACCCAGGCTAAAAATAATTCAGTCACGGACCCGCGATGTCGCGGGTATGTTCTAGTGGGTTATGAAAGTCCTTCTCGACAAGTTTTGGATAATTGATCATTTTTTCGAAGAACTATTTGCAGTTTTTAGTCATGTTAAGCATTTATGGCTTGGAAACATCTTAAGAAATACGCGAAAAATAATCCTTAACCCTGTTAATTGTTTTAAAAGAGAAGTGATAAGAGATTTTTTTCTAAAAAAGAAAGGAAAAGAAAACAATCGTGTTCCTTTATTGCTAGAGTTGGAAAATATGCTCCCTATGTATTGATTTACATAAACTGAATTATCCGGATGGTAAATATGGAACGCCACAACTGTCTTATGTGGAACTCTGATATTACTTTATGTTGTTTTATTATTACTTGATGATATTTTGTCTTTACTTAATATGGTTTTGACATTACGTAATGATGTTTTGATATAACTCAATATGGAATAGTCATTACTTAATGATATTTCGATATTACACAATATGGTTTCGTATTGACTTGATATAGTTTTGTCATTACTCAATATGGTTTTGTCATTACTCGATGTGGTTTCACCATTATTTAATGTGGTTGTGTCATTAGTCAATGTAGTTTTAACATTACTTGATGTGAATGTGACTTAACGTTATGTAGTTGTTTCATTACATGATGTGGTTTTGTTATTTTGCAATGATGATTTGCCTATTTTTATATGGTTTTAACATTACGTAATGATGTTTCAAAATTTGACGATTTTACACTCCATGATGTGTTTGTTTCATTATTTGATGTGGTCCTGTCATTCTTTGATGTGGTTATCCCATTACTTGATGAGGTAAAATCACGTGACCAATTCGGAAAAACCTGTTCTATTTTTAGATAGATTTCCATGTTGTATATGCCTTGGATGAGTGTGGCCATCCATTGAATTAGAGTTCAAATTAAAGTTCGGGTTACTGTTTGAGTTATACTTTGAGTTCGTCTTCGATTTAGAATTCAAGTCATTATTAGAATTAAAGTTTTAGTTAGCATTGAGTTTCGAGTTGGACTTCGAGTTTGAGTCACATCTAAAGATAGAGTTCTAGTTACAACATTAAATTTGAGTCACTTTTTGAGTTTGAGTAAGATTCGAATTTAAGTCTCATTCAGATTAATTAAGATTTTGAGTTGAAATTCGAGCTATCTGATATGAGTTCGTAATTAAATTTTCTATCGCGAAACAAGGACTTTTGCTCGTGTCCGAAAAGAGGGCTCCTGGGTATGCGTACAAAAGATAAACAATGTTATAGTATACGAAACGCAACATAGAAGTTGAAATAAAGTTAGATGTGGTGTGATTGACAATGAGACAACTATCCACCAGAGTTTAAATGCAGTGGGTGTAAGAAATCATATATAGGCAACCGTACAGCCTTCAACACAACGTATAGTCAGCTACAAAAGGCCACCATGCACCATGTGAAAAAATTCAAACGACAAAACGAACGGTCTTATTTATATTTAAACAATCTACAAAAAAAATGACGTTCATTTATACAACAACAACAATTGAACTTCATGCTCCTGATTTGGGGCAGGTACATAAAGAAAGTGCACGTGATGGAGATTAACATGTATGTGAGCGCTAAATCCTAACCTTAGATCGGACTGTTACAGTTGTGTAACAGCAAAAAACGAGACAAAATGATGCCCCCGCACTCAACTCATTTAAATTAACCGCTTATATCCCAAAAATGACAAAAAAAACTTCAATTATCTCCCAAAAGAGCAAAAGATCATAAAAATAAAAACCCTGACCACATGCACACCTTCAATAATTATACAAACAGCCAGCAGAGTGAAAAGTCATGCGAGACACAGGGTTCCGTGGAATATTTTACAAATTTATTACAAAAATACTGCTTCCATTTGAGAACTTAGGATAAAAACAACAAGACCAAGTGGTTTCGGGATATCCCAATTATGTACGAAATACTGTAAACTTTTCATACTTTTTTTGTTATTATTGTCTACCGTTCCCCTTTTTCATACCAAATAACTCTGAACAAACACTCGAACTTTAATTTGAACTTTAACTCAATGGATAGCGATACCCATCCAAAGCACATTAAACAAATGATAAATTGAAATCTGTTTAAAAATAGAACATATTTTTTTCCGAATTGGTCACGTGATTTTACCTCATCAAGTAATGGGATGACCACATCAAAGAATGACAGGACCACATCAAATAATGAAACAAACACATCATGTAGTGTAAAATCGTCAAATTTTGAAACATCATTACGTAATGTTAAAACCATATAAAGAATAGGCAAATCATCATTACAAAATAACAAAACCACATCATGTAATGAAACAACTACATAACGTTAAGTCACATTCACATCAAGTAATTTTAAAACTACATTGACTAATGACACAACCACATTAAATAATGGTGAAACCACATCGAGTATTGACAAAACCATATTGAGTAATGACAAAACTATATCAAGTCAATACGAAACCATATCGTGTAAGATCGAAATATCATTAAGTAATGACTATTCCATATTGAGTTATATCAAAACATCATTACGTAATGTCAAAACCATATTAAGTAAAGACAAAATATCATCAAGTAATAATAAAACAACATAAAGTAATATCAGAGTTCCACATAAGACAGCTGTGGCGTTCCATAGGTGAAAGTATTTTTTACTTTAATGTTGTAGTTTTCCTGAGAAAATAAATGAAGTGCATGGTATATTAAGATTTGTTCTTTTAAGCATAACTGTCTTTTTTTCTGACATGAAAATAAAAACAAATAAATAAAATAAATTGCATGAAATACTCAATAAAAATGGAGTTGGCGATATTTAGATTTGTACTTCAAAGCTTCAAATGGGCAATTAATTCTGAAATTAAATTTGAAAAATGCAAAAGATGTTTAAAGTAGGCTATGAGTGGTAGACATTTTGTGATGTCTTTTCAACAAAATATCTACCCATGAACTCGTTCTTATAAAATGGTAAATATGATAAAAGTCATTTTAACTTGAAAAAAATGACATAAAAATACCTCTTTACTCACTCTCCCAAATAACCTAATAAATAAAAGTCCTTTTAACTTACAAATATATAAAGTAATCTTCCTAAATTTACATAAATAGGCCGCAATTGCCATGCATAGTGGTAAGACATCTGCATAATTCCATAAGCGAAGACGACGTCCGCCTATTTCTATAGCCGAAGACGACATCCGCCTTATTATATAACCGAATGAGACGTCCGCCTAATTCTATAACCGAAGACGACGTCCGCCTAATTCTATAACCGAAGACGACGTCCGCCTAATTGTATACCCGAAGAAGACGTCCGCCTCATTGTACAAACGAAGACGACGTCCGCCTAATTCTATAACCGAAGACGACGTCATCCTTATTCTATAACCGCTGACGACGTCTGCCTAATTCTATAACCAAAGACGACGTCCGCCTAATTATATAACCGAAGACGACGTCTGCCTAATTCTACAACCGAATGCGACGTCCGCATTTCAGCTGTACGAAAATCTTTTCTGACGTCGATAGCTTCAGTATGCTGCAAATTGAAAACGAGCGCTACGAAGCCGAAAATAGAGAGAATTTGAAGATAAAAGTGCTTTCCAACATTCAATTCTCAGATGCTGTCTCCCACTTACTACACTTGGACAAGATTAGCAATATAATGTTAAGTGATGTTGTAATGGAATGGAAGTTCCTTCATAATGATAGTTCCAATTTGAAGAAATCTTCTTCCAAATGGAAGAAATATTCTGGAATATTATTTCCAGCGGGACAATTATTCAAGAATATTATTTCCAGCAAAAACAACCGTTATACAAAAAACGAGTATTTGCTCCTTATTGAATAAAAGGTGTTTTGACAAGTGTTATTGCATTCTTTATTACAAAGATTTTAGAGAAACTTCTGTTAGGGGGAACTAATATACGTTGACCATATGACTGTATACTAGAATTTTAATTACACCGTATATCATATATATATATAGGTAACATTACCTTGATTTCAAATTAGAAAATTCAGTTTACCAGATCACATTTTTACATATACTGATCACTTTTAATTGACTACATTTAATTTCAAAGAAAAAATATTCCTTGAATGCCAACATATTTACATCTGTTATTTGTCGGCAGATCAAATAATGTAGGCATTCAAGGAATTAACAGTTGTAAAATACTTATTATTTCCTCCAATGCTCGTCCATCAAAATAATATTTTCTCTTATGTCCCAACTTGACATTCGTTAAACTTTGGACATTTTATTTTGTTACGTATTTTTTTAATTCAGTTACACACCACCATTGCAATTAATCAAGTTTGTTATAAAAAACTGCATTGTTGAATTAATGTAGATAATCAAAACAAACTTTTGTTCGGATAAGTACATGCGATGAGGTAACACATACCAAACAGTAATAAGAGAAAGGTTCCGACGAAAGATTTCCTTAGCTACTAGAAAGTAAAACCTTAGTAGTTCTATGCATACTACTTAAGAATTTAACTTAACTAAGGAAATTCTTAATGTAATCTAAGTTTAAGGAACCCTTAAGTTAAGATGTTTTATGCATACGGGCCCTGATGATAAAATTAAATCATGCTAAATAAGTCAATAAACAACAAAATAAAACAGAGGGAAGCCAATTTCGTGTAGTAAAATAGTAAGGGAAAAATTACAACAAACATTATTATATATTACCATTGATGGTGATGCTGATATTCCAAAACCTGCCCATTGGTCGGCATTTGACGATAATGCGACTTTCATTGTAAAATTTACACCTGACACTGCAGGGGTCCACATAAGTAAGAAGGAGCAACTCTCATCACAGTCTCCCCAGCATCCATGTGTCTCACCACAATTACTGTCTTTAGAAAAACCCTACACGAAACAAGACAAACGAAATCTAACATTTAAATCTTCAAATTGATAATTGCATGACGTTCTGTTTCATTAAAAGTATGTTTGGTGTAAATGTTGATAATTTAATAAGATATTGAATCTGAATCTGCATTGAAAGTATGTTTATTTTATGATTTATAGAAGATTTTCCCTCGAAAATTTCTTCCGAACATTTATATAAAAAAATATTCGTTTACTCTTTCTAATATGTATATAAAACAATAAATTCATTTTATCGTAAGCAACGTGAACCTAAGCTAATCCTAAACCGAAGTAATAAAAGATTATAGGTTATCATGGTTTTGATTTTATCTACATACCCCCTCCCCCACCTAAAAATATGAAATATGTTTTAAAAGTACGAAATGATATGTCGACTTTATAAAAAAGAATTATTACAATTTTGATAAAATATTTTATGTAGATACAAAAATGACGAATAATCTGAAAAACTATTGTAAACAGTTCTAAAAGTATAAACCGATAAACAGTAGTGATGTGTTGCCCAAACATTTATTGTTTTGATACATGGTACATCTTGATTTCTGCTTTCGAACAATTGTATACAGAATCATAAAGTCAAAATTTCAAGGTCGAAAGTATAAACGATGATATCTAACGAAAACATCAAGAAAACCTGAAAGCGTTTGATAATATTTATGCTGATAGTTTTTTTTTGTCTAAACGACTAAAAAATGCCACTCAGTCATCATTTTTTTTTATAATGAATTTCATTTTATTTGCGCATGAACATAATTGTAAGTTATACACATTTTATGCATAATATAATATATAGGCAGAATATATACAACATATTAAATAGACACAGCTAAAATAGTTTGATACATTGCAGAATATGATTGCAAAACAAAGGCTGTTTGGATAGAGAATGCATATTTTTAATCTATACAACATATGGTGTCTGTTGTTTATCTTTGTTTTTTATGACAATAATGGAGTCCAGGGGTTACAGCAGTTCTCTCCCCTACTGTGCCTTTTATTTTTACATTTCGTTCTATCAATAAGTTTTCCTTTAAATCATTTTTGAGTACTATCATATTTGTTCCAATGATAATTTGCTTCTATAGATATAGAATTTTGTTAACAGAATTATTAAGGTTCTTATGTCATTTTTATTGGTTTTCGTTAGAATACCAAATAAACGAAATCTATATTTAAAGTTACTTCTATTTCTAACTTCTCAAATATCCAGGAGTTAAGGTCTTCCCATAATTTTGATATATACGGACAAGTCCAGAATATATGTTCTATTGTTTCGATCCCTCCACACCCAAAACTACACTTATTTGTATCTTTCATTTTTATATTAAAGAGTTCATTTGTGACTAAAATTCGATGTGTTATTCTGTATTGAAACCGCTGCAGTTTTGAATTCTTGGTAACATAAAAGGGCAATATCTGGATATTTTTCCAATTGCAGTTTTTTGAGAATTATGGACCATTTTTGTTCACATTTCAGTTTAAGATTTGACTTTTTACTATTTAAAATACTATACATATCTTTTGAACCTCTTGGGGATTTAAAAAATATTTTGTATTACTGAGGGGAAAACTGGGTCGTTTTCTCTCACTAAGTCATTGGGACATATATCATATTCTTTTAAATACTTTTTTTATTGCAGAAATTAAGTCTTGATATGTAAGGAAATTAGTTTTGATATTGTATACATTTTTAAAGTTATCAAACTCAGTCATCATTTTAACTGATGACAAAATATTTAAAAACTTTTCAACAAATAAATTAATTAAAATTAAATGTTTTGATGTTTTTTGTTGATAAAAACCATCGCATCTAATATATCACACCACACAACTTGTGCTACAGTACAAATGAATACGACCAATTGTTGTTTCTTTGTGGACTTATTTAAAACAAAATAATTCAATATTGGATGTAACATGTCCTCTGATTGGCTGAAAATATTTTGTCTATCAGCTCATAGACATAGTTTTCTCATGTGACCGTGACGTCATCAACGTTTTTTCATGATTTACTCCTTAAAAATGGATTTTAGAATTGACTGACAGTAATATTTTTGTTTTCTATTCGAAATAACCTAAAAAATGTTGTGCACACTTTTAAATAAGACGCTACGTGGGTTATTCAGTGCGCACCACATTTTTTAGGTTATTTCTTCATAGACAGAATCAATATTACAGTCATTCCTTAAAGCATTTTTATTAGCCTAGATTCTAACAAAGTGCAAAATATGTTGACAATATACTTACATTTACAAGATTTACAGTAATGAGTAAACATAATATACATTTTACAATGACAACATAGTTCATTTTGATTGCTGTCATAATGACTTCTATCTGAAACAAACAAGGTTTCATTCAAATAAAATACACTAGTTTATAAATAATCGGTCTGATCGATTATAACTATTTTTAAATTACTCGTTTTTTTTTACAGTAGATTTCAATCAGTTTATAATAAAACATTATGGAAACAAGTCCCAATGAAATTTAAGTCAATGGAAGAATCCAACATTAAATTAAACAATGTAACTAAAGGTTTTTCCTAACACTTGAAAAAAATAACATTTATCCAACATGTGTTAAACAATTGGAGAATTGTTTTTTATACATAAAAGAAGTAGAAATAAACAGAAAAGGGAAAATATACTACAAGGAAAGCGAAAAGTTGAAGGTCAAAGTGTAGATACAACACATATGCATAGAAATGAAATTGACGAACAGACAAGGGGTAGCAGTTTATGCTCCGCAAGTGGGACTCGTCGTATAACTTTTGTTTAAGACATATCCGATAATTAGATATTACACGATAGCATATTAGTAGTGTCTGTTGTCTAACCCTTAGACATCAACAAAGTAAACAAGGATACTTTTAAAGTATCGTTCCTGAATAATGACCGAATATATAAGAGTTTAAAATGAAAACACAGGTTTTTCTTAAGAAAAGGATTAAAAGACCGTTGCCTAGAAAAAAATTGGATACATACAACGCAGCAATCTGACAAAACAGCAACACGAACACCTTTAAAAAACTAGACTTCATGTGTTCCGGAAAAGTAAGCAATCTCTTCTCTACAATGGTACCAGACGTATTGGTCAATTCAGGAAAACAAATCGGTGATAAAGACTCATATATGATACCAGGCTTATAATCTGGTATGCCAGACGCGCGTTTCGACTACTGTAACATAAGATTCGTCAGTTGCGCTAGTATCAAAACAGTTGAAAGGCGAAATCAAATACGAAGTTGAAGGGCATTTAAAACTGAAACTTCCCATCAGAAATATATGCCTGGGTATATTAAAGTCTTAACGTTTCAACATTGATAAGTCGCATGCGTATTCGTTAATGTTATAAGTGAGTCAAAGACAACCATTTTGTGGCTACGACATAAATATTCCATAATGGTCAACCAAATCACGAAGAATTACGCAGGACTATGTCTAGTTGTTGTTAAAGTCTTTAAAAGAAAATGAAAAATTTATAAACTGCAGCAAAACGATTTTGTAATTATTTGTATTAGATTTTGGATATTCTAATATTTTGGCTTTGAACATCACTGAAGCGACATTAATTGTCGAAATACGCATATGATGCATTAAAATTGGTACCGTTTAAAAAATTGGTACCGTGCAAAATTTCCAAAGATCTTTTCGAGTACATACAATCTAAGACTCTTTCATCTTGCAATAGTAATATTTGACTTTTCTACACTTAACACAAGTATTCCCCATTCCAAACTAAAAGACAAATTGAAAGAGTTGGTATTGCTTTGTTTCATAAAAAAGAATGGCCAACGTAAATACAAGTATCTTGTCTTAGGGAGGAGTAAATCCTACTTTGTAAAAAATCACTCTGATTCAAACAAAATATCTCTGAAACTGACATTATCAAGATGCTTGATTTCTTGATTGACAACATATTTGTTACGTTTGGAGGACGTGTTTTTCAACAAACTATCGGCATTCCTATGGACACCAACTGTGCCCCTCTTCTTGCCGACTTGTTCCTTTATTCTAATGAGACTGACTTCATACAGGAACTTCTTAGGAAGAAAGAAATGAAGTTAGCAGTATCCTTTAACTTTACTTTCCGCTATATAGATGATGTTCTCTCACTAAATAATTTAAAATTTGGTGACTATGTTGAACGCATCTATCCCATCGAACTAGAGATTAAGGATACAACAGATATAGTTAAGTCCGCCCCATATCTTGACTTACATCTAGAAATTGACAATGAAGGTCGGTTGAAAACAAAACTTTACGACAAAAGAGATGATTTCAGCTTTTCAATTGTGAATTATCCATTTCTGTGTAGCAACATTCCAACAGCGCCTGCATACGGAGTATATATCTCCCAATTGATAAGATATTCCAGGGCTTGTATTTCCCATCATGATTTCCTTGATAGAGGGTTGCTGCTCACAAGCAAGCTTTTAAACCAAGAGTTCCAAATGGTGAAGTTGAAATCATCCCTTCGTAAATTTTACGAACGCAATCACGAGTTGGTTGACCGTTATGGAATATCCGTTTCACAGATGATAGCGGATATGTTCCTAATGTCGTAACTACAATCCCGTTCCCTTTTCACGAATGTGACCTACCGAATTAGACTATTTAGCTGGTTTGTACTGACATCAGCAACACGACGGGTGCCACATGTGGAGCAGGATCTGCTTACCCTTCCGGAGCACCTGAGATCACCCCCAGTTTTTGGTGGGGTTCGTGTTGCTTAGTCTTTAGTTTTCTATGTTGTGTTTTGTGTACTATTGTTTGTCTATTTGTTTTGTTTTTTTTTAGCCATGGCGTTGTCAGTTTATTTTCGATATATGAGTTTGAATGTCCCTCTGGTGTCTTTCGCCCCTCTTTTATGTTATCATCAATTAATGTACAGCTTATAAATTTATCAGCATATCTCTTTTCCTATGAATTAAGTGAAAAATGGTAGGAAAATGTATCCGAACGAAACAAACCACAGATAAAAATTATTTCATTAGAATGATTGAATAATCAGAACATTCGGGATTCATATATATTGCGGTTCCGCCGCTGCTGGTGATCAATCAATACCAAGGTGTACCTTCGGCCAATTATGCAGTCCTTCTGTATTGACATGATTTGTCCCTAAATTTTCTTTAGAAAAAAAATTGGACCTAAACTATGGTTGCGAACATTTCTAGCAAAATTTACCCCGAACGGTTTTGAACATTCTGTTTATTATTTGTTTCTCTCGTTAACCCCTACAAATTTATTGCACATCACTGTATGTTTTGCACACTGGTGTTGTATAATTAACTTAAATTCCTAAGTGTCTTTTTTAATAATTTTTACACTCTATTTCTTTGCCTCATCCGTAGAACGTCCTTTAGCGCACAATCTAGAGCCTAATTTATGAATATTGGAATTGTAAAGAACTAATTGTTTATATGTGAAAGAATCTTGTGTAGCTGTATTGCTTTTAATGTCAAGTTACAGTAAATGGGCTATGTCACAGATTTTGGTAAAATTTTGCATACAACTTTGGCTCGTTGAACTATAACTATAAATCCAAAAAATAATGCATTTATCCCTTTTATTATCTGAACTATTGCCGATTAAATTCTTTCAAAATAGGTGAATATTTGAATACATAAAACACATAAAATCGGCGAAAAGCGTTCTTAAATTTGTCTTAAAATCTCTAATTCGAAATACATAGATTTTTCTTTAAAATCTTTATGTTGTTGAAACAGTAATTTCCTTTTTAATTCTGTAAAATAATAAAAGTGTCCCCGACTTCGTTTTAACGGTATTCCATATTCAAAGTAGTTTTATAGATAAAAAAAAAAAAAAAAAAAGAACCACAAAACGTCGAAATAAGCGTAACGTCATCGTATTTTAGGCCGTAAAACGTCGATTGTTGTTGTTTTTTCACTACGAACAAGGTGACAGATTTGTTGTTGGACCAAAAACGAATATGATTATTTTATGTTATTTAAAAATAACGGATTTTTATCAACAGCATATGATTTAAAAAAGAAAACAACTATGGATTTGAAATTGGAGATTTGATGATTTAAAGACAAATAGAACGTTTTTTTTTTGCGATTTTATGTGCTTTTTATTCAAATGTTCACCTATTTTGAAATAAATCAATCAGTAAAATTTTAGGAAATAAAAGAGAAAGTTTAAAATATTTATCTGATTTTCAGTTAAGCCATTAAATTGAAGCATATCTTAGACTGAATGGTGAGGTTATAGAATTTTATATACCTTAGCTGTATTTGGCAAAACCTCGAAATTTTGGGTCCTCAATGCTCTTTAATTTCGTTCTTTAATTGACCTCTTTAACATTTTTGATTCGAGCGTCACTGAAGAGTTTTTTTGCAGTCAAAACGCGCGTCTGGCCTACCAAATTTAATTCTGGTAATCTATGATGAGTTTATTTATACAAATGATGCGAACTAACTGTGTTTTAAAGGGGGTTGGGGAAAGTCTGTTTTAGCATATGGAACTCTTTTTTTAGTTAAATAGTTTTCTACATACTAGTATTAATTGCAGGGTTGTTTGCAAAACGTTTTGACGCATTTAATCACATCGAAGCCTCACATCCTTATTGCTTAAAGTCAAAGCTGGTAGTTAAAAAGTGACTTACCTTAAGTTGCTAACCTTAATTCGTTTAACAAATTAAGATAAATGTACGCACTCACTAAGAGATACAGGTGAATGATCGTATAAATAGTGTCCTAGATTTTTAAAACGATGGTTAACAGATCATTAATTCTTTCAACGACAAAAAAAACCAACTGTATCTTCTCACACGAGAACCGTTCCTAAGACAAACACAAATAAACAACAATTTAAAAGAAATCAGAGCGAGACCATGCATACACGCTTGACAACTAAACCATGTGTATATTGCAAACAGTCGACGCATTAGTCAGTAGACTGTACACACCTTGTAGACCATGAAAAACGCTTTATCATTGTTAAACAGGAAAAAAATTTGTTTCAATTGTCTCGGAAATCATTAAGTTTCAGAATGTCGTTCTAAATTCTCACACGAGAGCCGTTCCTAAGACAAGCACAAATAAACAACAATTTAAGTGAAATCAGAGCGAGACCATGCATACACGCTTGACAACTAAACCATGTGTATATTGCAAACAGTCGCATTAGTCAGTAGGCTGTACACACCTTGTAGACCATGAAAAACGCTTTATCATTAGTAAACAGAAAAAAAATTTGTTTCAATTGTCTCGGAAATCATTAAGTTTCAGAATGCCGTTCTAAATTCTCACACGAGAACCGTTCCTAAGACAAGCACAAATAAACAACAATTTAAGAGAAATCAGAGCGAGACCATGCATACACGCTTGACAACTAAACCATGTGTATATTGCAAACAGTCGCATTAGACTGTACACACCTTGTAGACCATGAAAAACGCTTTACCATTGTTAAACAGAAAAACCTTTGTTTCAATTGTCTCGGAAATCATAAAGTTTCAGAATGTCGTTCTAAATTTTAATGCCGTAAATGTAATAACAAACATCACACAAGCCTATGTAATAAAGACCACACAAATTTACATGATGAGCAGACAACTGCATCTGTAAATACAGTTGATATTGAAGAGATAAATAGTAACACTTCTATATTTTACACTTCATCAACATTGCCCATGCAATCTAGAAGTGATGTACTACTGAAAACAGCATTCTCACTAGTTTGGACAGGAAACCAGACCGTATCCGCAAATAAACTGTTAGACGGAGGTTCATAGAAATCTTTCATTTCCGAATATTTAGCTACAAAATTACAACAAAGGGAAACACCACAGTCAATCTTGCTGCATTTGGAGACGCTAACAGAAACGTACTTAACCTTGATAAAGCAAATGTTGAGTTGGAAACCCAATAAGGAGAACGAATACCAAATGAAGAGCTTATAGTACCCACAAACAATATAATCCGCGAAAATGGTCCATCAGCTGTGAAATAAAAGAATGGATATTTATTAGCAGGACCGATGATCAACACTACAAGTAATACAATTGCAGCTTCAATGATGAATATTTTGGTGCAGCATAAGAAAGAGTAGGCTTGATTTAGAGCGTTTTTGGACACGGGAATCCATAGGAGTTACAGCAGACGATGAGTAAACACAGACAGACAGAGATTTTTATGAAATGTATCAGAAATCTAGTATCATGTACAAAGATAATCGGTATACTGCTAAATTACCGTGGAAAGACGATTTTCAGGTTTTACCAACTAACTACCATATAACAAAATATCGTACTGAAAATTTGATAAACAAGCTCAGTAAGGACCAAGACATGCTGAAAATGTACGGAAGTATAATTTAAGATCAAGAAACGCGAGGATTTGTTGAGAAGGTTAATGAGGAAACCGACAGAAGTTAAAGAGTTCATTACATTCCACATCATGTTAAAAAAGACTCAACAACAATCTCCATTGTTTCATGTCAGTACCACCACTTATGAATGATTTGACAGGATTAATCACAAGATCCAGACTACACAAGTTCGCAGTAACGACGGATATCGAGACGGCGTTTTTACAGATTGAATTAGACGAAAAAGACGGAGATGTAACAATATTTCTTTGGTTGAGCGATCCGAGCAACCCTACTAGTTCACTATAATCACCTACCGTTTCCGAGTAGTTTTATTTGGAACAGGTTGTTTTCCATTCATGTTAAATGCCACAATCATGAAACATCTGAACAATATTTTTTTAGATACTGCTAGAGTATTGAAGAGAGACCTGCGTGTGGACAACGTTTTCTCGAGCTTTCGTAGCGAGGAGAATTTACTGTTATTTATAAAGAATCACGTCAACATTTATCCAAAGGAGGATTTATTTTAAGGTCTTGGACATGAAATAATATGAAACCACGCAATATGACAGAGTCGGAGGATTGTATGGATAAGGACAAAACTATTAAAATTTTGGGACTTCAGTGAAACTGTGAAACTGACACGATATCATTTCAAAACAGCATTACAAATGATAACGAGAAATCTGTTACCAAGAGAAAAATTCTTCAACAGTTGTCAAGGATATTTGACCGTTAGGAGTGTTAAGCCCAATCACTGTGCGAGCTAAGATTTTGATGCAGACTACATGGGAGAGGAAATTTGACTGGGATCAGTCCTTACCAGATGATATAAAGAGAAAATAATTTGCTTTATTGAAGGATTTACAACAAACAGCCACGCTTGAAATATCGAGATTTTATTTCACCAATGAATTATCTGTAAATATTAACACCAAGATAAGGAAACTACATGTATATACCGATGATAGTCAAAGTGCATAGAGAGCATGCCTCTACCTTGTGGACGGAGATCAATCAACACTGGTTATGGTGAAAAACAGAGTAGCCCCTTTAAAGCAAATAACATTACCAAGACTTGAATTAATAGGAGCATAAAAAGAGGCAAGACTAGCAAATCATTTACTGGAAAACTTAGGAGACATGGAAGTACCATTTTGGTCCAATAGCCAATTTTTTTTAACATGGATTGCGTCGATAAAACCTCTGAAGAAATTTATTGCTAATCGAGTGATTGAAATCAAAGAACTTGTTAAAATCAGAGATGGAAAAATATTGTCTGACGGACATGAACCCTGCAGATTTACAAACTAGAGGTACATCTGAACACAAGGACCAAAATGGATTATCAACGAAATTTAATTTCCCACTTGGAACGGCAACACAATGGCATTCCTAACAAATGCTGAATATGACATTGAGCTAATTTTTCACTACTCACATCAACACAGAATCAAAATGAAGAATCGGGTTTTCACCGGATTATTGATTTAGTCCATTTCAGTAGTTTAAGGAGATTTTTGAGACGTATTGCATATATACTAAGATTTATACAGAATTGGAAACTACAAAAGAATCACAGGAAAACATCAGTACTAGCTAACGGTAGATAAAATTAACCATTCAATATTTTTATGGATCAGGAATAATCAGGATAATTCATTTCATCACATCAATTCGACTTAAAGTCCATCAATATTAAAACAGTTGAAACAACCAGAACATTTTGAGATACGGATGCAGAATTAACAATGCACCTTTGAACGAAACCGCTAAATATCCATATTTTTTGCCGACAAAACATAGTTTTATAACTTTGGTAATCAAAGACGCATATGTGAAACAACTTCACGAAGGAGTAACCAGTACAGTGACTTTATTACGTCAGACATGTTGGATTTCAGGAATTTGTCAATGCGTCAATGCGGTATTATGCAAATGTGTCACTTGCCGTAAAGTTATAGAGAAGGCTCACCAGAAATCAGACCCACCACCACTACCAGTAGATAGAGTTCAAGATACATTTCCGTTTACCGTGACAGGCGTAGACTTTGCAAGGCCACTTTATGTAAAATAAAAATCCGATAATTCAAGAGCTGAAGTTTACATCTGTTTATTTACTTGCGCCTCCTCTAGAGTCGTACATTTAGAGATCGTTTCAAACTTGACAGAGGAGTCTTTTAGGTAGCAATACACCGTTAGGAAAAAAACTTAAAAATGACACTCTAATTCTAAGCAGGAAGAAAAACATAACGTCAAACGCTGACAGAACATAAAGGAGTCCTCGACTCAAAACGCTTATAATAATAAACTATTGTGACTAAACCAATCTAGATATATCAATTCATCCAGTTAAGAACTCATAAGTGTACACTATCTGGTTCACGCTTAGAATATTGACCCAACGATAACGTTTTAAACAATACATGAAAAAGTTGCGCCATATTTAGCGTTATCGATAGCATTTGTCTAGTTGAAATAACTTTAAGTAAAACGTACGTTAATTGCCCATTAAAATATACATAAAACTAGAAATATAACTTATACAAAATCTCAAAATACAAAAGTAAAAATATTTCATGACTTGGGAATCACCAGTGCACACATTTACAAATGTACAACACCTTGGTTAAAATTTGGTAAATACTAAATTAATTTCTAACAGCGGGAACAAATTTAGACTTAATTCATACCAAATTGTAACAATATACCAAAGCCTTGTATCGTAATTTCTTGCTTCTTGCTATGTTTTAGATATAGGAAGATGTGGTATGAGTGCCAATGAGACAACTCTCCATCCAAGTTACAATTTATAAAAGTAAACCATTATAGGTCAAGGTACGGCCTTCAACACGGAGCATTGGCTCACACCGAACAGCAAGCTATAAAGGGCCCCAAAAAATTACTAGCGTAAAACCATTCAAACCGGAAAACCAATGGTCTAATCTATATAAAAACGAGAAACGAGAAACACGTATGAACTACATAAACAGACGACAACTACTATAATCAGATTCCTGTCTTAGACAGGTGCAAACATTTGCAGCGGGATTAAACGTTTTAATGATACCAAACCTTCTCCCTTTTCTGAAACAATAGTATAACATCACAACATAGAAAAACACACTATAAAATATCAATCGGAAGGCTTAACTCAATCAAAAAACGCACAATGAACGAATAAATTTGACCTGTGACACCTGAATGCAAATATACAGTTAATAAAAAATTACAAGGGATAAATAATTAAAGTCAAAAGTAAATAAACAGGTTTAAACAAAGTTAAAGTATGATACCACTGTGAAATGTCAAACAATATTTAGAAAATCATCACTTTTGAAGAAACCTGCGTCATATTATACACAGGTAAATGAAAATAATTTTGTTGTTAAGTATACTTCTTCTTCTGTCTGTATAAAATCTTATGTTTAGGAATAC